TATTTACAGTATTTTGTGTGAAGCTGAAAATGTTCCACGTGTCTGTTCAAATCTGGCTGGTGTGATGGAGGAACTGATTTTAAATGTTATTTATTTTTAATTAATTATTATTAGAATACTAATAGCTGCATTTCAAGTGTCACTGGACAAGCTGCTACTTGAGATTATAGTATATCTTGGAAAATTCCCATGAGAACTTAAAAATACAAATACTCTGTATTAGTGTAAAGTGTATATGTGTGTGTGTGTGTGTGTGCATGTGCATGTGTGTAACAGTTAATTGTCTAGTTTAAATCTTTCTACAGGCTCACTGATGTACCTATGTAATAAGCATTGAGACAAAATTGTTTATTACATGTTTATGATTGTTTATTCATTCACTCCTTTAAATTCTATGGTGAAATAGGATTATTAGGTACATATATATTCTAAAAGTTTAAAACTAATAGTTTGAAAAATAACTCAATCATTATTCAATTACATTTCCAATAATGATTATTGCGTTATATCATGACATTAAATTAACCATAGCAGTTTTATTCCTGGTTGTTTTGCATGGTATATGTTTTTATTTTTTTCTTTTAATTTTGTTTACCTTTTTAAATTTCAAAATATTGCAGGCATACAAAATTTTGTTACATGGATACCTTCTGTTGTGCTTAAGTCAGGCCTTTTGTTGTGCCTATAACCTGAATAATGTTCATTGTACCCAATAGGTATATATTTATTCCTCACTCACTCACCATTCCCCCTTCTTTGTTTCTGATGACCTTCATATCTCTTTGTGTCTGTGCGTTCCAATTGTTTAGCTTCAACTTATTAATGAGAATATATGGTGTTTGGTTTTCCATTTCTGAGCTACTTCACTTCAGATAATAGTTTCCAATTCCATCTAAGTTGGTGCAAAAGACATTATTTCATTTATTTTAGGGCTGAGTAATACTCCATGTTATATATACATTCCATATTTTGTTTATCCACTAATGAATTGATGGGCAGTGAGGCTGATTCCATATCTTTGCAATTTTAAATTGTGCTGCACTAAACATTCGAGTGCTGTTGTCTTTTTATAAAGTGACTTTTTTTTTACATTTATTTCCTTGTTGAATCTCCATACAGTTTTCCATAGAAGTTATGCTAATTTGCAGTCCCACAGACTATTTATAAGTATCCTGTTCTCTCTGGATGCATGCCAGACTCTTTTTTTTTTTGCTTTTTGCTTTTAATAATGGCCATTCTGACTGTGGTAAGGTGGTATCTCCATGTAATTCTAATTTGCATTTCCCTGAGGATTAGTGTTGGTGAACACTTTTTCATATATTTCTTGATCATTTTTCTGTCTTCTCTTGAGAAACCTCTGTTCATGTCTTTTGCCCACATTTTGATGGATTTGTTTATTTTTGTCTTGCTGATTTGTATGAATTCTTTGTAGATTCTGGATAGTAGTTCTCTGTCAGATGTATAGTT